GTACTATAATAAAGTTAAATATGAATAGCTTTTCATTTTTAATTTACCTTCCAATGTAAATATTTTGCTATTCTCAAGCTTTGAAAAACCAAGTAAAGAGGCCAGGGATTTAGCTCAGTGGTTCCACTGCCTGTCTCGGAAGCACAAGGACCCAAGTTTGATCCCTGGTTCCAAAAAAAAAAAGAAAAACCAAGTAAAGTTTTTACCAGTCTTTTAGGTATAAAGTACAGATATGATTATAGTACATACAGAGACATACACACTATACTGTAGAGTTAAAATCTGTAGGAATGGCAATGAGGAAACATATGTCAAAAAAAAAAAAAACTCCTTTAGAGAGCCAGTAATGACAAGACAGTTAAGAAACACCAAGGATTGCTATAATCCAGATGCCCTACAGGCTAAAGTCTATTTTCAAATACCTCTTTGGTCCTGAAAAACACCTGGATGGAAGTCCTCAGTTTCTTTTTAATGAAGTTTGACAAAAGGTGACATGATGCATGTTGAGAGATACGGTCTAAGATATCCATATCTCTGCAGTTTAGGAAGATGTGCTCTGACCCTAGCAGGTTAATTGCTACATTGTTAGCAGTTAAACACAGCTGAGGAATACTGTTTCTTATCATAGTGCTCTTTGTGAAGTGCTCTTTTTGGTTTTTCAAAGAAATTATTTCTCTTCTGCCTTGACTTCAGCACATTATGTTTCCCTTTTCATCTCTGCTAGAGGAGAAAATGGCTACTAGAAGAAAAAAAGAAAATAGGAGAAAACTTACTTTTACAGAAGTAGCACAAACAGTATGTTTTTATAATGTGCTAAACATATAGCTCTGAAGTTATGAGTTATAGTATATTCAGTATGTCACAATTTGTATTTTATGAAAACATAAAACATTTTCATAAGCAAAAATAAGAGAATAACAATGGTTAGTACACTGTGTATCATTATCTTCAAAGTAGATAATCAGTATAAGACATAAACCAAAATGTTTCTTACAAAAAACCCCACAGATAATAACACAAACTTTCTTTTTGATTGTTATTAAGTGTGCTTTGAAAGAGTGAGGTGTATGTATCTGTGTGTAGGAGAGTGGAGGGGGTATCTTCTAAGAAGCAATGGAAGTTAAGTTAACAGAAATGAATTTTGAATGATGCTGAATTACATTTGTTTTCATTTGACAAGCTTGTACTTCTAACTGTAAGTCTAATAAAGAGTCTGTGGTGAGTTTGTATTTTAAAATCTCTCTTTCTTATATTAATACCTTGAAATGTTTTGATTAATTTTATAGATGTAGAGCTAATATCGGCTTTTTATCACACATGGACACATTTACTTGATCTTCTGGCCACACTCCTGAGGAAAGCTGCAGCTGTCTCTCTCCCTTCCATTACCTCAGCTCTGGCCAAGCACTGGGCTGCAGTTATTGGTAAGATGACACTGGCTTAAGTTTCTTCTGCTAATAAAAATAAGATAATCCTTATTCCCAATTAGATGTGTAAGTTTTCTAAAATGAAGTAATACTGATATGGCATGTGAAAGAGATTCCAAGATACTTGTTTTGAGGAATTTGCAGTAATCTTGAGGAGTCTCTGTCCAAAAAGATATTTTTGAAAAACCGAAGTGTATTTCAAGATGCATAAGAACAATTAAAAGCCTGTGGTTTTATGAAGATGCATATAAAATTTTAAGATGAGATAGCTTTTCTTTTGTTGGAAAGAACTTAGTCTCTTTTCCAATATATGTTCACTGTATTAGGTAAATCTGAATATATGGAATCCTTTATAAGTGACATCATGAGAAGTTGTAATAAAAACACCCTTTTGTTTCCAAGACATTAGGTTTTCTTACAGCACAGAAATATTAAAAGTACGGTAGGATTACTTTTATATTTCCCATATATTCACCTACTAAAACAAATGATTATTTTGAAATGACTAGACTTTAGTGTTTTTGTAGTCTCCTCTTTTACATTTCAGCGCAGCAAGAAGACTTTTTAAATATAAATGTTTATAATTAACATTCATTTTAACTTTTAAAATTATTTAAATAAATTCAAAATTTATTTCCAAGTTATCCACTAGTTAAATTGACTGATTTTTTAAACATTAATTATTTAATTTGGTGATTTAAAAAGTTTAAATGTATGACATAGAGTAGTCATTTTAAAATAAAACTTAAGGGTCAGGGATGTAGCTCAGCAGCGCTGTGCCTGCCTGGTAAGTGCAAGGTCCTGAGTTCAATCCCCAGTACTGGAGAAAAAAAAAAAACAAATAAAATAAAACAAAATGAGACTTATGGGGAAATACATATTCAATAAGAAATAAAATAATTTAGATACAGTACTTATGAGTCTACCATAAGGGTTAAAGTGGCCATATTGTAGATAATTATTTTGTTAAAAGAGATGGAGATTGCCTTTGGAGACATTGAGATTTTTCTCTTGCATTAATTGGAAGAAAATTAGTTCACTACCTGAATCACCAACAAAATACAGTGAAATGCTTTGCACATTAGATACCAAAGCTATCTGATCAATCTTTCCCACTACCTCGTTTGGTTAATAACGTTTTATTGGAGCATAGCTACACTCATTCATGTGTTGCCTGTCTCTGTTTGCATGCAGCAATATTTGAGATGAGTAGTTGTAACAAGGACAGTAAACTACAGAACATAAAACATTTACTATTGGTCCTTAACAGAAAAATTTTGCTACTCCCAACTTAAGGCTATTTATTTGATGTGATTTCCCTGCTAATACAATGCAAACATTAAATTCAAACCCTCCCTATAAAATATACACACAGTTTGTAGTACTAATAAAAATAACTTAGTGTGTAGTTTTGATAATGGTGATGTTAATGAAAATGAACCTAATAAAAATAATCTTTAGTGTTTCTTGCCATGCTGGCATTTTTTTGTGTACTTTTGTTTTTGTTTGTTTTTATCAGTTTCCATCCCATGTACCCAAACACATTTAATACATCTTATGATTACTCTATGAATTGCCTTATCAAAACAGTCCATTTTCAAACTTGATAATAGTTGGACATTATTTAAATGAACATAATATTTATAAAACCATACTGCTAGATGCATTATTTTCCTTATGTCACTTAAATTTGTATAAGCCTAAATCTGCATAGAAATTCTATGGTTATAATCTCATATAAGCATAAATACAAAATAATAAAATAGAAACAAGTTAAAAGTCAGATACTTTTCATATTAATTTCAAATTAATAAGATTAATGCAATCACCAAATGTTATTTTGATTAAACTAAATCATGATTCATAAAAAACTATTGACTGGCACAGAATTGAATCTTAGTGTGGCTTGCCTTAGGTGGCTTGGCCACCCTGTACTGTGTTTCTAAGTCAGTTCATAGGCACTCATGTTCTTTGTGCAGTACCGAGACCTTTGTTCATCATGCAAACACTGCATACCGAGTCTTACTTTTTAAAGTATCATTTGACATCGACTTGTTTGAAAGGAGAAATCCATTCATACCTAGAAGATGACATTCTGTATGACCCACAGGATAGTTAGGTGAACTTTTTATTTTGTTTTGTTTTGTCTTTTCTCTTTTCCCTCTTCCCCCTCCTCCTCTCCCTTTCCCTTTCCCTTCCTGTTCCTCCCTTTTTCTTCTCTCCCCTCTTCTTGCCTTTCCTCCCCTCCATTCCCCTCCACTCTGTTCCCTTCCCCCTTTTTCTTCTGTCTTCTTTTCTTCCCTCTCTTCCCTTCCTCTCCCCTCTCTTCCCTTCCCTTTTTCCCTGCTCCTTCCCCTTCCCCTTCCCCTTCCCCTCCTCTCTTTTTCTTTTTTCTAGTACTGGAGATTTAAGGATTGAACCCAGGCTTCTGTACTGAACTACCTCCCCAGGCCCCCCTCCCCCTTGAGATAGGGTATTGCTAAGGTCCCCAAGCAGGATTTGAACTTGCAGTCCCCTTGCCTCAACCTCTCGATGTGCTGGGATTACAAGTATGTGCCATCATGCCCTAGCTTTATTTATTTTTGCCTTGCTACAGATCAAACCCAGGGCTTCACACATACTAGGCAAGTGTTTTACCAGTAAGCCACATCCCCAGTCATTGTCTAACTGTTTTTTGACTTTGCACTGTAATCAAAGTTAAAAAGCTGAAAATTCTCAAGGCTTTATCTGTTCACTAGAGCTCACAGGCTCATTACTTATCTATGTATGTTCCTCTTCTTTGGGGTTTTAACAGATATTGTGTGCATTTGTAGATACACGAACACCCACAATTTCATATAAAGACAAAACCATATAATGAAAATTGAACAGAATCACTGATTCAGTATATTGTCATAATACTGTTTGATTTTAAATAGAGTTATTCTTGTTATACCTAAGGTATTGATAACTTTATATTCTTAGTTAAGAAAGCTATATTGCTCCAATCAGTCTGATTCATTTTCTCTTTAATTTTGAAGATATTTTCAAACATTTATATCTGAACCATTTTCCCTTTTAGATATGTTCTGCAAATGTGTGGGCTCATCAGTCAGGTATCCTGCTCTTTATACTGCTAGTCTTCAGTTCCTGGCTGTTCTTCTGACTGAGGAAGCAAAAATGAATTTCCAGGACAAGAACAAAACATATTTAGGCCATAGTCCAACAATGGTTTTGCTTCTTGATGAAATCCAGGAAAATCAGAAATCATCAGAACAACTTAATGAAGTAATTCTTCAGGTATATAATTTCTTGGTTTTCCTAAACTTTTAAGTGTTTAAAATAAATTGACTTTCAGTCTCAGTCTTGTTAAAATTTTTTCAATCATTTGAATTGAAAAAGTAATTAATACTCTTTCATGGCTACTTAATATAAAAGTATAAATAGATTAGCAATTAAAAAAGGACTAGAAGTATTTCCTAAAGTTTCACATTTTTTACAAATAGGATTATTAGATTTTTTAGATATTAAGAATCCTTTTTAATAATCATGTGGTTTTATGATTTTGGTCTTTTCCTGACAGGTAGAAAAGTAGTAGAATTGGTCATTGAAGGATTTGCTTCAGCGTTCCAATCTACTAGTTGCATTTTACAAAGATCACTCCATCTGCCTATTTGTGATAGTCTCTTTGTGCTTAGAAATTAGAGGTTTTTATTTCTTTTTGGTCTGTGAAAGTCATGGTCATGAAGATATTTTTGGCATAACTACTTTTACATGTTGAGCACCAGCCTTGATTATGTTGGAATACAGATATAAGATATAATATACAGATATAATAAGGCTGGTAGAAAGAGAGGAGGGGATACTTCCCTGGTCCAGCTTGAAGCTGTCCTACAAAGGACATCATAGCACAATTTGTTTTCCTCACCCCACAAAATCCAGGTGTCTCTCCAGCATTTGTAAACACCTGATAAGGAGTCTCCCTGTATTTTCCCACTTGCCTCCAGCAGTTCCTTTCAAAGCCCCAGCCTCTAAAGAAGAGTCCTTAAGTGGCTTTCTTCTAAAAGCCACTTATTGTTGGGCACCAGAACTTCCCTATTGTACTGCTCCATTCTTACCACACTCAACTTTTCTTAATTGAAAACAAAAAGTGTACGTTGTCCCAGTTGTTTCATTGCCTATCAGAACAACCGTGATTAAATGAGTTAGCTGATTTGCATTTCTTAAAGAATTTATTTTAAAAATTGATTTTTTTAAAGAATATTGAAACCAAGAAAACTCAAATTCACACCTTTTCACCCCTCACACCCACCCCATGATCCAGCCTAATTATTAATTTTCTAACTTAGGCTTTGGCAGAGCACTTTCCCATGCAAAGGCCCTTGCTTTTTGTTGACATGCTTTCTTCTTCAGGAAATGTAAAGGGCTTCCCTCACATAAAAGTGCTGTGAGAACAGGATGCCTGGCCTCTCCCTCTTCTGCCTAGGCTATAATACTGAATAGCTGTGGGAGCCCAGCTTCTCAAGGCTTACTGGTTTCTATAGCCAGTCCTGCTTGATGTGGTAAGATTTAAAGACTTCTATGCAAGCCAAACTAGGGATATTTAATTTTGCAACTATTTTCTCTTGTTAAGTGGCACCATGTTTCTGGGAATCCATGATTAGACTCATGATAAATATGGATATGTAGGGTAATGAACTAGCTTATAATGGGGTACTTAGGAAAAGTTCCATGCCAAAAGAATTTGTGATATTTACCTTGCCTTCTTTTCCCTAATACTTTGTAATATTTATTATAAAAGTTACTGCTTGTAATCTTTTGTTGTTACCTTTTTGGCCAAAGAAAATGAGATATTTTACAACTGTAGTATATTATAATTTTCCTATTTTTCCTTTGAATTTCTTCCAGATTACAAAAAGTACATACCATTCTGTGTGGATATGGATCCATTAACCAATTATTTTAAAACATGTCTCCTAATAAGTCATACTCTTGTTCATGTACCCAGTAGGATATGAACACAATCTCTATCCCATTTTAGATGGAAGGTCACAAGCAAGTTAAAGACAAATAGTGAAGAGAGGAATTGTACCCCTAGTGCACTTTTGAAAAAAATATGTCCCTAATGTAAGCCGAGACCATTATTAATAGTACTGGTAAGCTATGAATGGTGTTTTCTTTGCCCTGTAGAAAGATATATGAATTAAAATATTATTAAAATATATTAAACCACAATGCATTATAAAAAATATGTGTATCTTACTATGTATTTACGTAGGCTACAGATTGTGCCAAGTGCTAGATGTAACAAAGTACAGTCTTTAAATTTATCAGAAGAAATCATACAGTATTCTGAAATTGATGTCCTTCAAAGGTATATTTAAATTCTCTGTAAAACCATACACAAAAATAAGTTAGATGCAGGATATTAGGCAAATCAGGTAACCTCTTGTGATTCAGTTCTTCAAATGTAAAATGAGATTGATTACATTATTGCTAAGTTTCAACTACCTCTAAATTGCTCCATCCTTCTGATAAATTATTGTTTTGGAATTCAATTAAAATATGTTGGAAGAGTGTGTTTTAAATGATTGCTTTACAACACTGTACCATAGCAGATATATGTTGAAATTATACTTACATCATAAATATAGGTAAGTTTATTTTTTCTTAAATCCATTTCAACAGGGTTTCAGAATATGAATGTTCTCTATGAAATTATTAGCTGTCTTTGGTCCATAAAATATTGAACATATTTGACTTAGTGTTACTCTCTTTACTTTATAAAGATTCTTAATACATTTCATTTACAAATACATATTGATAACAAGATTAAACTCTGTGTCCGTAAAAGGCTTTGTAATTTACATATTCAATTAATTTTTTTTATTCTTAAGTTCATTTATTGGTACATTTTAGGTATACAATACATTTACATTTATCATTGGGTGCTTGTACCTGTACATGATGTATCTTGCTTCTTATTTTTTCCCCATTACCTGTGTACCGTTCACCCCCTCAACCCTTCCCTATCTACATAGACTTCATTTCCATTTTTTTTTCTTTTCTCATAATTTTTCCTTTCCCTTCTTTCCTTTCCCCTTCCCCTCCCATCTCCCCTACCCCTTTGGACTTTTCTTCCTATTTGAAATTATCAGTTAATGTCATTTTAATCATTTTAACCCTTCTTTACATTTTCAGTTTCTCATACTAGAGAAACTATTTGGTATTTACACATGTGTATCCTATTTATTTCACTTAGGAGTATGGCCTCAATATGCATCCATTTAGCTATAAATGACTAGTTTCTCGTTCTTTATGACTGACTAGTACTCCATTTTATAAAAAAAACCCACATCTTCTTTATCCAGTTTCCAGTTGATGGGCACTTGGGCTGTTTCCAAGCCTTAGCTATTGCAAACTGTGTCGCTATAAACATGGGTGCACATATATTGCTGTGGTATGATTCTTTTAATTGTTTTGGGAAGATACCAAGCAGGGGAATAGCTGGGTCAAATGGGACCTCTAGTCCTACTTCGTTGAGGTATCTCCATACTTATTTCCATAGTGGTTGCACCAGTCTGCACTCCCACCAGCAAGGGAGAAGGGGTCCTTTCTCCCCACACCCCCACCAGCATTTGTTATTGGTTGATTTCTTGATAGCAGCCATTCCTTCTAGGATGAGGTAGAATCTCAGTGTTGTTTTCATCAGCATCTCTCTAATGACCAGTGATGTTGACCATTTTTTCATGTATTTATTTGCTGCTTTTACTTCTTGTTCTGAGAAATGTCTGTTCATTTCAGATACCCATTTTTGAATTGGGTCTTTGAATTTGGGGGGTTGGTTTTTTTCAGTTCCTTATATATTCTAAATAGTAGTCCTTTGTCTGAGGAACAGCTGCTAAAAATTTTTTCCCACATTGTAGGTTGTCACTTAGCTCTGTTGGTGGTTTCTTTTGCAGTGCAGAAGCTTTTTAATAAGATGAGAGGCCAGTTGTTCTTTGTGCTAGTTCCCGTGCTATTGAGGTTTTGTTCATGAAATCTTTTCCTATGCCAATGTCTTCAAGAGTTCTACCTAACTTAGCTTCCAGCAAGTTTAGTGTTTCTGTTTTAATATTTAGATATTTGTTCCACTTTGGTCTTAGTTTAGTGCATGGTGATAGGTATGGGTCTAGTTTTAATCTTTGGCAGGTTGAAATCCAGTTTTTCCAACACCATTTATTAAGTAGGCT